TGCTTACTCTTGAACATTGGTAAAAATCGAACATTTCCGCTACTCTGAGCTCAATTTCAAGGTCGTTTTCATCATGAAACTAATGAGAATCATCTCTGTTTCTGTAATATGTTTTCCATTATATCAAATGAGACCAAGAAAACGAGAATACACCCATAAATACTATACGAAAATACACCTCAAATTCGGCATTTTAATCCAAAAAAAAAAAGGTCGGAGTTTTTTTTTTCTCATTATGCACTGCGTGCTGCAGGATTTTTTTTATATAGTGCACACTGACCACACAGACCCATTCTCTCACATGTGGGCCTACCAGCTTTCTCCTGCTTGATTTGAAGCCACTAGAACTATTGAGTATATATACGTCGAAACAATGGCTCGTAAGACGTATATATACGACCAAAACAGTCAAAGGGTTAATTAATAATGGTACAGAATATTAGCATAAAGGTTTATAATCATGCAAATGTAATTTTAGCTGTTCAACAGAGACAACTTTTTGGTAATATCTCCTCAAACACATTTTAGGCATACTGTATACACCTGCACAACATAACTTGATTAGCATATTAACCAAATTTTGCAAAATGTACTGTAATATGCAGCTTGACAGAGCTCCTGGAGAGTGAAACATTGCCATAATTAAATGTCATATTGCATCTGTGTCCCTTTACCTAACAATATACAGGTGCTTTAATGGCTAACATAGTACTGTATAGCAACAGTACCTCATAATATGATTAAGCAAGAGCATCTCCTAAGCCCTAAGGGGTTTCATGAGTTTTCCACACTCCAGCAGCCCAGCCCTGGGCTGAGCAATGGAGATATCACATTTCAGTTCTCAGTTCAATGTGTGCACCCTCCTGTGTGGTATTAACTTTATGCAGAGATTCGGTAGTATAGAAATTAGAAGACAGTGTGGTGGTATGCAAGGTACAACTCAGAGACAGGGTGACTGTGATGGTATAGTTATTAAGAAATGATATAACAGAAAAGGTAGCTCAAAAGGATATATAAAACCAGGTGGAGGAACGAGATGAAGGCAGTTTTGAGTGCTAGGGGGGTTTGAGTATCCATTGGGTTTAAACAAAGTGTGTTGTTCCTATCCAGGAGGAAATGAGTGATTTTTGGAATTTGATGTGCTGTTGGAGTGTGAGCGTGGGAGCATTTCTGAAGGGACTTGGGAAACCAGATGGTCCAATTTGAGTTTCAGACGTGGGCAGTACAGTGCTTACACACTGAAGGATGGGCAGGGATGCTACACTTCAGAGGGTAATTTGAGAAGTGATGTCCATGCCTTTCTGGCATGGTGAATGTTTCTTTCATTGAGTCATTATCGTTATTTTCTTGGTAGGAAATCATCATTTGGTAAAAACAAAGAGCAGCTTGGACAGCAGAGCTATTTTTACTACAATATTCAATGAAATTGTCTAATGACTCGAATCATAATTTTTTTAAGCTACTAGAGTAATTTTATTAAAATATAGTACTGCAGTCATTTTATTGCACAATACTTCTGGGACTGTAATTCAATATGATTAAATACAGCTTGATGGAGATAAGCAAACTATCAACATTTGCCAGCAATAATTAAGTGATAAATGAGTTCCAGAAAAGGTAACTGCCAACAAAAGATTGAGCTACCTTGGAAAATACAGGTAGAGTACATACTACAGTGCTTTTTATTTAATTAACCCGTAAATGGTCCAAACGTATATATACATTTTTTCAACATTTGAAAGTATGTAAAAAAAAGTAGATCTTTTTGTTTTTCTACATTTGAAAATGTGTAAAAAAACTTAGATCTACTTTTTTTTTTGTTATATTTGAAAATATGTAAAAAAAACTTAGATCTACTTTTGTAGCACTACACATGTGAACGTAGATCTGCTTGGACCGTTTACGGGTTAAAAACACTTTGCACAGTAAACAAAATTAAAATTATTTTCTAAATTAAAATTTTGATTTTGCTGAAATTTTTTTTTCTAAATTTTGGACATGATACCAAATTTAAAATTTCATTTTCAGAATTTTGTAGAATTCCAGATACCGTATAGGCAAACCCTGCTGAACACAACCTGTTGTCTAGTTAACTTGTGGGCATATGGTGAGAGTATATTTAATGTAAACTTGCAGCCTAATCATAATTATCTTTAAAATATGCTTGTTTAATTATCTTCATATTTAACCCTTTGACTGTCACAACCCCTAATCCTGAGGTGTCTCCTGGTGTCGCAAAATTTAAAAAAAAAAAAATATTTTTTTCATATGAAATGATAGAGAATCCTTTCCCGATTGTAATGACACCAAAAAAATGAAATTTGATGGAAAACTGACGGAATTATGCTCTCGCGAAGTTAGCGACCTCGGCGCTGTTTACAAATCGGCGATTTCGCCCACTTTGAGCCCTATTTTCGGCTAATTCCATTGTTCCAGTCGCCCAAACTCATAGCTATTTCTTTAGAACTCCATTTTTTCTATCGATTGAGTACAAGAAACTGCCCATTTACCGATTTCAACTACCTAATAATGTGGTCAGAAATTTGCAATTTGGCCAATTTCACGAAAACTAAAAAATATGACAATTTCAAAATAAGGTCCAGAATGAACAATGCAGACATTCCTGGTTCTAAAATAACATTTTCTTTGTTCATCAGTCATATCTCCAGGCCCCTCTGATATTACTCTTGCTTTCTATTTTGAATTTTTATTCAAACAAAAAATAGAAGACTTACTATTATCCAGACTACTGCAATACTGTAATAATTGTATAAATAACATCAACCCATTCATTACTGCATATTAGAATGGCTAGTTGGACATTTATTGGACAATGGCATCATTTGTTTACTTTTGAACACTGGCAAAAATCAAACATTTCCCCTACTTTGAGCTCCATTTCTAGGTTCTTTTTATAGTAAAAGCAATCAAAATCACCTCTATTTCTATAATATGTTTTCCATTCTATCAAATGAGACCAAGTAAACGAGAATACAACCATAAATACTGTATGAAAATAGACCACAAAGTCGGCATTTTAATTAAAAAAAAACGGTAGGAGTTTTTTTTTCTCATTATGCACTGCGTGCTCCAGGATTTTTTTTATATGGTGCACACTGACCACACAGACCCATTCTCTCACATGTGGGCCTACCAGCTTTCTCCTGCTTGATTTGAAGCCGCTAGAATTTATGAGTATATATACGTCAAACACGGTACCTCGTAAGACGTATATATACGGCCGCGACAGTCAAAGGGTTAATGGAATGTTGCAATGGTTCTGTGCCTTGATCAAAAAGTTTAAGAACTTCTTAGCTCTCCAATACAATATTACATGACCCACAAAATCGATCTATGAAATGAACTATTGAGAGCCAAAGGCTTCACAGATTGAGCACTAGTCTTAATTTTAGCTTCTTTTATGTGAATTGTACATACGTACTGTGAAAGGTTTGAGATCAGGGGAGGCTTTAGGGATGACACATCTTTTCTCCAGTAATGAAATGCTGAATAATAGACAAACATTCCATGCATGTTAGATCTGCCAGTTAACAGGCCACACAGAAAAAAAGCAATATGTGAGCTTCTTCATGCTCTCTAAACAAGGTTCTTGCTGACTACTTTAAGCTACAGTAGATTTTCTTCAGATTTTACAATGCACTTTAATCTTGACTCATGAAATCGTAATGACACAATTGCAAACCATTCCATGGGCAGGGATATAACCCGCGAAGAGTCATATGACTCTCTGATCATGGGTTCTATCCCCGCCCGTGGAATGGTTCACTTTAATCTTATTTGTGATCTTAAGAATAATTATATATTAATGGTCTCTGCTTCTTACAACTCTTAATCCCTCTCTATTTTAATTTTTCCTTATTTCCTAATATTCGTAGCAAATAATTTAATCAAGAAACATTTTTATACATTTGGTTATACCTTTACCTTTACATTTAACTGGAATGTAAAATTGAAGTTTTCAATTTTAAATTAGTCTTGGCTCCAAATTTTAAAAATAATTTTCTTGAGATGCTGTCCCTACTGTCAACAGCAAATGGAAGGTGATAAGTATCTTACGTAACATGGTGTAGGTTTAACATAATTAGTGTTAGCTGTATGCTGTTAATTCTGCACATATACATGTACGTATTTCCTTCATTTGATTATTGAGGATGCCCTACCCAAAACATGCATATAAATAGCTACCTTTTCACAGCCCCATTAATAGTGACATATTAACAAAAAAAGGCACAATAGTGTGACTGATTGACACACAAATAACCCGCACATAGAAGAGAGCAGCTCATGACGACGTCGGACCGAAAACGTCGTCATAAGCTCCTCTCTTTTATGTGCGGGTTATTTGTGTATAGTGACATATTATTTTAAAGTCATAGAAACCCAGTTACAAAAAAATTCTTCACTGTCTAAGGGAGCTAATCCAATATCAATATGTGTTTCCTTCGAGTATCTAAACCTAACAAGTGCTCTGTAAGAACATGTACATGGATCTGTAAAAAAAAAAAAAAAACTTGACAGCCCCAATCCAGTATTATAATGGATCATCAGAGCACTCCCTATTGCACATAAGATGCACTTCTAATCAAATCTTTCATTTTACCAATAAATTTTCAATTCGCCAATGTTTTTTTCAAACACACCAGCCGTCTCCCACCGAGGCAGGGTGACCCAAAAAAGAAGAAAACTATGAAGTTTTTCTTTTTACATTTAGTAATTTATACATGAGGAGGAGTTGCTAGCCCCTTGCTCCTGGCACTTTAGTCACCTTTTACAACATGAATGGTTTATGGATGAAAGATTTTTTCTGCCAAAGTTATCATACAAAATTGGTCACTGCTTTTTAACTAAGGGTGGGTGGTGACACTATGACTTTTGGCTTAGTCATACAATGACCCTAAGCACTTTAAAATGTACTTTATTTTGTTTCACTGTAGTATAACACCTGCATGTAGTCTAGACAAAAATTCCTTGCAACCTACCCTGGTGGAAGCTGAGTGCATTTTAGAATCAAAGTTTAACATATTAGGTTGATGCAGTTCTCCAGGCTTGCCTACTTCATTGGAGAAGAATTTTAGTTCACTTGTATCTTCTGAATGACTGCCAGTGTAGCAAGATCTACTTCGCTTTGATACTCTATCACTTACAAATGCACTAGAATCAAAGCATTTTCGTTTCTGGAGACGAGTTAGCTTAGTTTTGTTGTAGCTGTCTTGGCATGCCTTGTGCCACTTTGCTTTATGGCTTGCTAGTGTAGCAGTGATCCCATCTCCCTCATCAGACCAGATAAGATTGAGGGAGTTTGGCAACTCTCCAACGTAGTGAAACTTTTTTAAAATATCTGTGAGAGTGCTATACCCTACATAAGCACCTTTATGCTTGGATTCAGCAAGACAAGTAAGCCTTTCACTTGTGAATTTCTGGCAGAAGATGCAAAGAGACCAGTCTGTAGATGCTACATTTGCATTACTACTGGATACATGCATGTTATTTCTACTGCAAGGCCCTTGATAATCCTTGTTACATAAACTGCTGGCATCCATTATATGATAATACACAGTAATTTATTTTATGTTTTCAATTATTGCATACTTAGCAACAACAAATGTCTCGTCTCTTAAAACCTTAAAATACAGAACATTTTTACCCGGAATTTTTAGGTGTTACTGAATCACTTCCATGGCAACCTGAAAAACATAAAATTATAAGCTTTTGACAGCCAAACCTGAAAATTAAGCAAATATGATGAAATTCAATATTCCACAGCTCTGCACAAGTAAAAAAAAAAAAATCTGCAAATGGTAAGGGCCAATACTTAAGTGATAAACAAGTTGATACAATATTGCAGCTATAGATGTCTAGGTGCATAATGCTACTTTATTAGTACCCAACTGCCTTTAGTACATAACAGCAGCCAAAGTACCACCTAAAATTTAATGCAAATGGTACTAATATTTCCATAAGAATTGCATTGCATAATTCTATACACAATACCTAAATCAAAATATTCTATACGTATTAATGACAATGAAAAGAAATGTTTATTTTTATAATGGAATTTGTTTTACCCAACAATAATAATTCTAATAAGGCTTACAATATCTAGGTAGAATACCCCTCACATGGGATGGACTTTCATACACAGAGCTGCAATGTCTGCTAGCTCTGGCTGACAAACTCTGCAAGAGGAGTGAGGACAAAGTATGTGATCCAAAAGGGATTTACTAGCTGCAAGCTCTGAATATGTACAGCAGTTTATTCCAGAAGTTATGAAACTTTTTAAAATGTGGCAGTTTGATGGACAGCCTTATTCAGATTAAATTTATGGATATGTTTATAAATGGAGGTTTGACCTATCTACAAAACTGCATTGTGCAAATTGTAATAGGTAAAAAAAATAATGAAAAAATGGTAATAATTTAGCCTATAACTCAAAACAAAACAAGAGAATTTATTTTCACTGGAGGGCATTATTTTATGTAAATTCCCTGGCATTAATAAGTGTGGTATGCAATGGATGTACCTGAATGTATATTTAACGCCAATGGAAAAAAAGACCTTTTTTAATATGTACAACCTAACCTAATGTTACCCAACAAAACCTGATAGAAAATTTTACATCCAGTCTAAGGTTATACAGTATTTGGCTGGGTTGGGTTAGGTTAGGTTGCTAAACTTACTTATCAAAACAAACCTTCATTCATATTTGTTTAAAGAATAAATGACTCCAGTGCACAATTCACATAATAAAAAATAATTTACATAATAAATGATATACTTATTTTGCATACTTTCACCTAAATAAATAATTTCCATGCAAATGACTTCTTTCTGTGCAACTGATAACATGGTTGTTATTAATGATGTAAACACGCTAATGAATTTATTCCGGTTGAAATGTATACCATCTTTATGTTCAACAAATAAGATTACAGCCTCTCCTCACTTAATGACGGAGTTCCGTTCCTGAGACCATGTCATTAAACAAATTCATCGCTAAGTGAGGAGCATACTATAATGGTAGTGGGTTTGTGTCAACCATCTTTGATACTGTTTTAATGTCACCTTTGCACCATTTAAAACATTTCTGGTATATTTTTAAATGTTTATACAGTAGTGTACTGTATACTGAAATAAACAGAATAGAGGAAATCAGCTCTAACATACATTACTTATGCATATTGGTCACAGCCGTCTTAAGTTCGAGGCGTCAGTAAACGAGTACGTCGCTAAGTATGGGACTTACTCAGACAGGATGGGACTTACTCAGACAGGATGGGACTTACTCAGACAGGATGGGACTTCCTCAGACAGGATGGGACTTCCTCAGACAGGATGGGACTTTCTCAGACAGGATGGGACTTACACAGACAGGATGGGACTTACTCAGAAAGGATGGGACTTACTCAGACAGGATGGGACTTACACAGACAGGATGGGACTTACTCAGACAGGATGGGACTTACTCAGACAGGATGGAACTTACTCACACAGGATGGGACTTACTCAGACAGGATGGGACTTACTCAGACAGGATGGGACTTACTCAGACAGGATGGGACTTACTCAGACAGGATGGGACTTGTTCAGACAGGATGGGACTTACTCAGACAGGATGGGAATTACTCAGACAGGATGGGAATTACTCAGACAGGATGGGACTTACTCAGACAGGATGGGACTTACTCAGACAGGATGGGACTTACTCAGACAGGATGGGACTTACTCAGACAGGATGGGACTTACTCAGACAGGATGGGACTTACTCAGACAGGATGGGACTTACTCAGACAGGATGGGACTTACTCAGACAGGATGGGACTTACACAGACAGGATGGGACTTACACAGACAGGATGGGACTTACACAGACAGGATGGGACTTACTCAGAAAGGATAGGACTTACTCTGACAGGATGGGACTTACTCAGACAGGATGGGACTTACTCAGACAGGATGGGACTTACTCAGACAGGTGGTGTATATAATACAAAATTAAAAGATGCTAAATTTAATGTAAATCTACTTAAGATAAATATCATAGCAAAATATTAATTTTAATGAAGAAATATTAATTTTAATGGATGAATTTTAATGCAGAATAGGATACTGAAAAGCACTGGTTTGGCTATAATAGTGGCAGATGAGTAGAGTAAACTGCTAAATAACATCACTGAAGCAACTAGTTTCAGCTAATATGTGTGTGAGAATGGATGAATGTAAATTGGCCTTGCCTAGAAATAGAAAAAAAAATGAAATTACATGGAATTCATCCAGTAACAAACAGATACAGTATCTGCCTTTAATAACCACAGTGAAGCACTAAACCTCTAGAGGTTATTTAGAGCCTGGGGTGACAAATTCTGGCCACAAAATAGAGCGAAACACCAACGTCAAAGACCTCGGAGTGATCATGTCAGAGGATCTCACCTTCAAGGACCATAACATTGTATCAATCGCATCTGCTAGAAAAATGACAGGATGGATAATGAGAACCTTCAAAACTAGGGAGGCCAAGCCCATGATGACACTCTTCAGGTCACTTGTTCTATCTAGGCTGGAATATTGCTGCACACTAACAGCACCTTTCAAGGCAGGTGAAATTGCTGACCTAGAATATGTACAGAGAACCTTCACGGTGTGCATAACGGAGATAAAACACCTCAATTACTGGGAGCGCTTGAGGTTCCTAAACCTGTGTTCCCTGGAACGCAGGCAGGAGAGATACATGATTATATATACTACTTGGAAAATCCTAGAGGGACTAGTACCGAACTTGCACACGAAAATCACTCGCTACGAAAGCAAAAGACTTGGCAGACGATGCAACATCCCCCCAATGAAAAGCAGGGGTGTCACTAGCACGTTAAGAGACCATACAATAAGTGTCAGGGGCCCGAGACTGTTCAACTGCCTCCCAGCATACATAAGGGGGATTACCAACAGACCCCTGGCAGTCTTCAAGCTGGCACTGGACAAGCACCTAAAGTCGGTTCCTGACCAGCCGGGCTGTGGCTCGTACGTTGGTTTGCGTGCAGCCAGCAGCAACAGCCTGGTTGATCAGGCTCTGATCCACCAGGAGGCCTGGTCACAGACTGGGCCGCGGGGGCGTTGACCCCCGGAACTCTCTCCAGGTAAACTCCAGGTAATGTAATGAAGCAAATCAGCCCTTCGAGTATTACCTATGTTAAGGTGTGATAAATATTCGTTGGGAAAATTTCATGGCTGTCCTTATTAAGTGTTTCTTGCCTATATCTTTACCTGTTTACTATGTGCATGGTTCTGTAACTCAGGTGTAAGAAATAAATGCAGTTTAATTAAAAGATAAGCTGGGTAATGTCATATACCATCACTGTTTTACTGAAATGTAATGCAGAACAAAGGCAAATGTTTAACTGAGAAAGTATTATCAGTATTATTTATTTTTATTTTTATAATTATTATTACTGTAATCATCTGTAAATGATTTGCAAATATCCCCATTACTGTAAAAGCTGGAAATAACTAAAGATATGTATTAGAAGTGTGACCATTCTCACATGTTGATGCTCTGTTATTGGTGGTTCCAATGTGATTATTTTTCTAGTATTAGTATTCATTGTAATAATTTAGTGTGAGCATAAATAAGGTTTATAGAGATGAGCTGAGCTCTTTTTACAGAAGTTTTGTAAAGAGTTTGTGTACACATAAGTACGATAAAGCACGTAAATTACTGGGAACAGTTGAAGTCTCTTAATTTGTATTCCCTGGAATGTAGGCGAGAAAGATACATGATAATGTTCACATGGAAAATCCTAGAGAGATTAGTACCAAACTTCACATGAAAATCACTCACTATGAAAGCAAAAGACTCAGTAGGAGATTCAACAATCCCCCAGTGAAAAGCAGGGGTGCCACGAGTACATTGAGAGAGAACACAATAAGTGTCAGGGGCCCAAGACTGTTCAACTGCCTCCAACCATCCATAAGTGAGATTACCAATAGACCCCTGGCTGTCTTCAAGAAGGCACTGGACAGGCACCTAAAGTCAGTACCTGACCAGCTGGGCTGTGGTTTGTATGCCAGTTTGTGTGTAGCCAGCAGTAACAGCCTGGTTGATCAGCCGCTGATCCACCATGAGGCTTGGTATCAGACCGGGCCGCTGAGGCGTTGACCCCTGAAACCCTCTCCAGGTATACTCCAGGTATATACGGGTTGGAGTTCTGTTCAGAGTCCTGAAGGGAAACAGGTGGGCAAGTTACTGCAACCAAAGCCCCACTCTCACACCTCTGTTGGCTTAAGCACCCTTCATCAACTACTCAAATTTATTAATCTGCTGCTAACAAGTTTAGTAGCAACCAGGCACCCTCCGAAGAAATGCCTAAGAATCAGTAATTTATGGGTTGGCCAACCAGGCACCCCTGATGAAATACGTAAGAGTTAGCAGATATATTGAGGGAAGGATACAGAGTTACTAGAGACCTTGAAAACTCTAGTCCTGGAGGATTATACCAGGCTTGTAATCTGGGATTCGGAAGATCTCGGTGGTAGCCTGAAGAAGGAATGTATCCAGGCATTGAATCAAGAGAGGTAGCCCCAAACATAGTTCCTTGGGAACTGTGTTTGGTGTTAGTTCTAGTATCAGTTAAGAGTGTTCTAAAATAATGTGGATGATCTTAATAATTTATATGTATTTGATGCTGGCAACTTTTTTTTGTTGGTGCCAAACTTTCAGATTCCCTTGTAATGCATGTAAGTTTATTAAATTGTAAGTTGTTTTATTAAGGTATGTTTTACTTCCCCCTTTGAGCCATGCATTTAGGATCCACTGTTCAGAGATTAAGTTAAATAGTATATTGATATTTTTTTTCTGGAGAGAGTCAAGCCTCTGACAAAGTGCTTACTGCTCAGTTTTCAGGTCAAGCTAATCTAAGAGCCAGTACTTATCAGGACCACTATCTTGTTATAGCTAGCCTGTATTATTTTTCACTGGGGTTTTCCTGCTCTAACCCAAAATTCTGTGTCCCCCCCCCCATTATCCTATGACTTTAGCTACATTTACCTCTTCCACTGTTAAAAGAGCAGGTGGTGGTAGCATATTTCTGAGAGAATAGAGTGCTACCTTCTTTTCTCTCAAATTCTAGTAATTTCCCCTTTTTACTTGTTCCTCATATTCTCATACTTTTGTCCATACTGAGTCTCTACCTGAGGGAACAGACAATATGGCATCATCTGGTGTTCTGTCAACCCTAGGGTGGAACTGGGGTGGGAGATGCATTTCAGTAGCAATCATGTTTGATTCAAGGAAGGGGAGGCAAGTCCAATCTCATAGTCAAGAACCCCTCAGTAACATCAAGGTGCTGCTCATCATGGGTTGTAACTTGATAAAGCTACTGCATAAACAAAACATCACCAATAGTTTCCATGTAACTGCATTTGTGTATTTCACATCATGACAGTATTTTGTATGGTCAATGTACACTTTACTCTTGGGTGTGTTTTATGTAAATTCTTCAGTATTAAGTGCACTATGTAACTGAGATATCTGCATTTAGTGCTGGATTATTATTATTATAAAAAAGAAGCGCTAAACCACAAGGGCTATACAGCTCTGATTTAGTGCTGAAAAGGACCTTTTTTTTTATATAACTTAGCCTTATATTACCCAACCTAATCTAACCAACAATTTTACAGTTAGTCTGGGGTGGGCTGGTTTGTTAAGTTTGGTTACATTATTAAATTTACTTATTAAAATAAAGCTTTTCTCTTATTTGTTTAAAAAATAACTGTCTCCACTTGACAACTCACAAAAGAATTTTCATATATTCTTTTTTTTTTGCCTATTATTGCTAAAATAAAAAAATTGCACAATAAGTAACTACATTTTCTCATGAAACAAATTATATGATGATTTGTAACATATTAACAGATTTCTGTCCTAGGGGGAAAAAGTACATAATGACCTTTTATGCCACTGACTTTTTGGGTTATCCTAGGTAAGTTATACTACTTACTTACTTACTCGGGACCTGCCCAGCAGGACCCAGAAGATCTACACCAGTGTTCCTCTGTTCTATAAGTGGGACATAAATGTTTTAATTCTTGTCATTACATATTTTAAAAACTGTCATTTTCCTCACTTTCTGTAGGTGAGGACAGTTCATTTTGTAGTGGGTTATGACATCAGCTAAAATGCACTAACAGAATTTGAATATCTGACAGTAGAGAAATTTGCATTTTTTCAGGCCATAAGATGAATGACGATTTTAAAATCATACATAATTTTAAACCTTTACAATTGTTTTATATATAGTAGAAAATTAAGTCAACTCTGAGCTAGGAAAACCCAATAAATTCAAATAATAAGACTTACTTTCATTGGTGTCCTCATATTTCTACTGAGGTTCTCAATCATACATGACTCACATTTATACGTCGGGAATTTTGTCATGACTCCCACACCCCTTTATTCTCAGAATTATTTCTCAATACTTCAGTTTTTTAAATCGTGTAATGTTAGTATAGAAAAAAAATAGCCATCATAATTCACAATAAAACACGCAATGCGAGACAAAAAAAAATTTGTACATATAAATACAAACTGCCGCTAACATACCATAATCACGAGCTACACCAGCACCATCTTCAGCCCCTGGGTCTACCCATCCTGGAAGCTCCTGCAGGGTGTTCTTGAGTCTTTGGGAACACCTGAGTCTTCAGGAGAACTTCCTCGAGTCTTCAGGACTTTCTTAAGACTCCTGGAGGACGTCTTCGTCGTTAAGGAGTCGGGACGATGCACTTTAAAATGTTACTGGACTCCCACCCGTCCGTATCCGCGCCTTTAAATCGTCAATACTCCATGCTTTCCATGCCCAAATGCATTTACAGGAGGTGTACCCCGTACCCAGACTGAGGCTGATCTGGTGTATGTGTAAGCAGTGTGTGGGTGGTGTGTGGGCGGTGTATGGGCGGTGTATGGACCAGGGTGGTGGGCGTCAGGTTGGGCCCAGCTTTGTTTTGGTGGCTCAAGGCTCCACCTGCCTCCAGCCAACCCCCCAAAAATAATTAATTCAAGCTCACTGCATACGGTTTACACACTGTTATACACGTACGCAAGTACAATACGCACAGTATTGCTATGTGCATAAATCTGTAATTAATTATGTATAATAAATGAGGGAGAAAGGGAAATTTATTACGTATACGCCTTCACGGGAAACTCTAACTTCATCCACAACATCCAGCACATAAATAAATACAAATAAATACTTTATTTCCACATAATTCATAGTTTTTACAAAACCAGATGACATTTAACAGTACATGTGGAAAGCCCCTAGCTATGCAGAGCATTTCGGACAGGTTAAAACCTAACATTTAAAGAAAATATACAAAACAGTTTAGTTAATTTAATAAACCACGGAACGGGTGGGGTTTGAACTCACTCGTTCAATATTTTATTATGTACCCCCATACCCATCCTATGGGCGATAGTCAAAACGTTACAAAGGTACATAATGTGTCCAGGGACTGGCCCACAGTTATCAAGACAGTGGGACATATTTAAAAAAAATACGTTATTCCTCCATAACTCTGTAATACTACTCTCTAATCTATTCTTATTTCACCTGTGGTACATCTAAACATATCATTAAATAGAATTGAACACTAGCCTTCATTTTTTCCCCGATAAACATCTGTTGAACTTGATCAAATTTATGAAAATGAATATAACGTATAGTCCTAATATATCTAATACAACTTGCTTACGCAAATTCCAGTTAGCACTCATGCTTATGGAATGCTTGTCTCTGCTATATTTCCACCCAAAAAATATTGCTCAAATTATTCCCCCTTAAAATTTTGCACAAATTGAGTAAGACGTGAGACATTTAGGTGTCTTTATTGTCGAGTGTCGCTTGTGTAACAAAGTTCTGCATTGCCATAGAGACGTTGTATACTGATAACAGTTGAAGAAATGCAGATTTTGAGGAGTTCAGTGCATTACACTAGGTAGAATTGGAGCAGTCATCTCGAGGTGCTTAGCTCCTCAGCCTCGATGTGTTCAGTTCCGTAGCTTTGATCAAGGCTAAAGGAATGAACACCTCAAATCTTCACTTCTTCAACTGTCGCTCTCTAGCCTAAGGGACTGAACGTCTGAAATCTACTGTTCATCAACTGTCTTCAGTATGAGTCACCTCGGAATTCATCTGAAGAAGCCTGCTGCGCAGGCGAAACGTTTTGGCTTTTATGCCAAAACCTAAATGTTGCACGTGTCTCTCGTTCATCAATTTGTCGGTATTGCATACCATTAACATAATGCTTGCACAAAATATCAATGCTGCTCCATGTCACTCTCCTTCATGCTAACATTTGCTGTCTTTGATAAATTCTTGCATTTGATATAATCTTTAAACAGTTTTTGTTAAACTTACCATTGTCGTGTTAAAAACACGAATGCTTTGTTAATCAGAATAATCCTTGTATTTGATAAATCTTCAGCAAACTTAGCCATGTTAGACTTAGCATACACATAATCTTCTTTTAAATAATATCGTTGTCTAGTCAGTTTTAAGTTAGTTTTAATCTGCCCTGAGTTTTTCCAAACTGCAGCAAAATATAAAAATATGTATGGGTTTGAGTATGTATATATATGCACGTATCTGTACATTTCTGCAAATGTGCTAACCTATGTGTGGTTGCAAGGGTCGAGGCCTAGGTCCTGGCTCCGCTTATGCATGCATGCTTATGTATGCATCTCTGAGTTAGTTACCATTTTGTCTGTATATACGCCTGTGTATGTCAACGTATGTGCATATGAGTATATATACTTGAGTATGCTTATGTCATCGATACATGACAGTGTCATACTTGAGTATGCTTATGTCATCGATACATGACAGTGTCATGCTTGAGTATGCTTATGTCATCGATACATGACAGTGTCATACTTGAGTATGCTTATGTCATCGATACATGACAGTGTCATACTTGAGTATGCTTATGTCATCGATACATGACAATGTCATCCATCGAAGACACTGCAAGTCTCTAATCGGACATCAACAAAATCTTTACATGGGCCACGGAAAACAATATAAAGTTCAGTGAAGAGAAATTTCAATTACTCCGATATGGAAAATTCAAGGAAATTAAAACTGTATCGGGGTATAAAACAAATTCCAATCACACAATAAAGCAATAAACTAATGTGAAGGACCTGGGAGGGATAATGTCAGAGGATCTCACTTTCAAAGATAACAGCTTAATTTAACTGTTTACAACAATGTTTACCACTGAATATATCATGCTTAATTAATCTTAAGTTAATTTTAAGCCTGCCCATAATGCTCTGCATACAAGGGGCTTTGGCATGTTACACTTAACCACTGTATTTCCTTGTATTTCAATGTATCATGTTTGTGGAGAAATTTTCTCCAGGAGGGGGGTATCAGCCCCCTTCAGCCCTTTCAGCCCCCTTCAGCCCTGAGGGGCCAAGCCCTCTCAGAAGGGGCGAGTGTCTTGTTTACTGCTAGAGTGAGTAATTGATCACAGATGCTATGCCATGTAGTCAAGTGACCTCTGCTCCTTGCAGCGGTGTTGCAAAGTGTATTTTTATAAGAGACAGTACATTCTTACTTTAGCAGGACAATTAAGGAAAATCCTGCTCCCACTTTATTACCATAGTAAAGATAGTGTACATTGTTGTCTATGCTTAAGACAGCAAGAAACAAACATTCTGCTTTGCTTCATCGAGGAGGTGACAAGGATGCAAGGTACTAGGTCAGCGTTTTTTTTGTGTACCAGGGCAGTGACGGCATGGAGCGCTGTGGCGTCTGGCAGACTATCTTTGACTCTAGGGAGAGTGACACTGACGCCAGGATAACTAGCAAAGAACACTGATCTGTGCGTTAGTGTGAACAAAGTGTCTCAAACACAATAAACATAAGAGAAGTGTGATCAGCTTCTCTTGTGATACATTGTGAACAATAAAGACAAATCTTGTGGAACATAGTGTACCAGTGTGCGTTTCCTAGACAATGGAAGACGTGGACATCCAAGGACACTTCAGCTTCTATCAAGTCACCGATACCTGTCGAAGGTGTTGAGAACACCATAGCTTACGTTACAAAGAGCAAGGTATGTTACGAATTTCTTGTAGATCGGGGGATTGCGCAATTCTTGAGTCACAAGGAGTTTGTAATCAACCTATAATCGGCAGTAAGGTGTGGACTTTTGAGTCCAAACAAGTAGGTATTTCGTCAGCCATCATCGAATGAAATATGCTGACATAACACCCCCTAGGGGTAATTTATACTTACAAATTGTATCTCTTGACAGCCCAATGTTGTGATGGTTTCGACAGCTTCTAGACCTCGTCTGCAGGGGCGGCTGTGTAGACGATTTGCTGTCATTTATCAGCTAAGTGTTCATTATATATAGTTATAATTTAAACACAGCAGGTAAGGCCAAAATCTTCAACAATGTTCAAATTAATAAATAAATAAATAAAAACAATGTATCTACCATATCTGCCAGGAAAATGATAAGATGGATAATGAGAACCTTCAAAACTAGGGATATCAAGCCCATGATGATTCTCTTCAAATTGTTTGTTCTCTCTAGGCTGGAATAGTGATCATAACAACATAAGAAGGAATACAGCTGCATGCCTACTGGCCCATGCAAGGCAGGTCCAAGTCTCCTACCGGCTTAGGCCAATCGCCCAACCTAGTCAGGTCAGGTCACATTAGCACAAGCTAGTCAGGTTCAGCTCACACCCACTCATGTATTTATCTAACCTATTTTTAAAACTACACAACGTTTTAGCTTTTATGATGGTACTCGGGAGTTTGTTCCACTCATCCACAACTCTATTACCAAACCAGTGCTTTCCTATATCCGTCCTGAATCTGAATTTTTCCAACTTTAAACCATTGTTGCGAGTCCTGTCTTGGCTGGATATTTTTAGCACACTATTTGCATTCCCTTTATTTATTCCTGTTTTCCATTCATACTCCTCAATCATTATTATTAAGAATTAAGGCTCCAGGCCGATTCCCACCAAGGCAGGGTGGCCCGAAAAAGAAAAACTTTCACCATCATTCACTCCATCACTGTCTTGCCAGAAGGGTGCTTTACACTACAGTTTTTAAACTGCAACATTAACACCCCTCCTTCAGAGTGCAGGCACTGTACTTCCCATCTCCAGGACTCAAGTCCGGCCTGCCGGTTTCCCTGAACCCCTCAATCATATCCTCCCAAATTCTACGTCTTTCTAGAGAGTGCAGATTCAGGGCCCTCAGTCTATCCTCATAGGGAAGATTTCTGATACATGGGATCAACTTTGCCATCCTCCTTTGTTTGTTTTCCAGTGTATTTATGTCCATTCTGTAATACAGTGACTAAAATTGTGCAGGGTAATCTATATGAGACCTAATCAAAGATACACAGAGTTGAAAAACAACCTGAGGACTCCTATTATTTTTGCTTCTTGATATGAAGCCAAGGATTCTGTTTGCTTTATTGCAAACAATTATGCACTGTTGTCTTGGTTTTAGATTACTGCTAACCAGAACTCCCAAATCCTTTTCACAATCAGTAATATGAAGTCCTACAGTATTTAGTTTATATGTGACATAGTTATTTTCTTGTCCAATGTTTAGAACTTTGCATTTGTCTATATTAAACTGCATCTGCCACCTCTCCGGCCACTGCATCAGTTTATTCAAATCTTTCTGGAGTGCTCTAATGTCCTAGTCAGAATGAATTCGACGCCCTATTTTGGTCTCATCGGCAAATTTGCTTATGTCGCTGTTTGTTCCCTCATCTATGTCGTTTATGTAGATTGTGAACAACAAGGAGCCCAACACTGACCCCTGTGGAACACCACTCGTGACATTTAACCACTCTGATTTCTCCCCATTTATGTAACACTCTGATGCCTATCTGTCAACCACACCTCTATCCAGGAAAAAATTTCCCTCCTATTCCGTATGTCTTAATTTTCCTCAATAGTCTCTGATATGAGACTCTATCAAAAGCCTTACTGAAGTCAATGTACACAATATCATATCAATGGACCCCAATGGAAATAAGTCACCCTGTCTGACTTTTTTGGGTTTTTCTAGGTTCTCTACACATATGCTGGTATGTATGATAATCTATGTAACTGTATTTGTGTATACCTGAATAAACTTACTTACCATGATCTACCTCCTCAAATACCTTAGTGAAAAAAATTAATAAATTCGCAAGACAGGAAAGCCCTTTTGTAAAACCGTGCTGAGATTCGTTAATTAATTTATGCCTTTCAAGATGGCTACGAACTGCCTCGGCAATTATTGGTTCCATAAATTTTCTCACTGTTAAGGTTAGGCTTATTGGTCTATAGTTCGAAGCTAAGGACCTGTCACCTGCTTTAAAAATAGGTATCACATTTGCCATTTTCACCTATCTGACAAGTATTCCAGTTTGTAGAGATATGTTGAAAAGATTAGACAACGGTTTGTTACGTTCCTCTTTACATTCCTTTAGAACTCTTGCGTACAGTTCATCAGGGCCTGGGGATGTGTTTAGTTTTAATTTATCTATTTGTCTAAGGACCATGTCAATTGTGACCCTAATCGTGCATAGTTTATTATCGTCCTGTTCTACATAATTTATTATTTCTGGAATATCGCTAGTATCTTCCTGTGTAAAAACTGATAAGGAAATGTGTAGAATTTTTGAGTGGGCCTATCTTGTCCTTAATCTTACTTCTGTATACCTGAAAGAATCCTTTGGGTTAGTCTTCGATTCCCTTGCGACTTTAACCCCATAATCTCTCTTTGCTTTTATTATTCCCCTTTTTATTTCTCTCTTTAACTGAATATATTGATTTCTTAACTGCCCCTTAACGGCCCCTTTCAAAGCAGGCAAAATTGCAGACCTGGAGAATGTACAGAGAACTTTCACGGCACGTATAAGTACGATAAAAACCTAAATTACTGGGAGTACAAATCAAGTCCCTTGATTTGTACTCCCTGGAACGCAGGCGAGAAGGATACACGATAATATACACTTGGAAAATCCCAGTGGGATTAGTCCCAAATTTGCACACAAAAATCACTCCCAACGAAAGCAAAAGACTGGGCAGATGCAGCATCCCCCCCCAATGAAAAGCAGGGGCGCCACGAGTACACTAAGAGACAACACAATAAGTGCCAGGGACCCAAGACTGTTCAATTGCCTCCCAGCATACATTAAGGGCCCGGTGGCCTGGTGGCTAAAGCTCCCGCTTCACACACGGAGGGCCCGGGTTCGATTCCCGGTGGGTGGAAACATTTCGACACGTTTCTTTACACCTGTTGTCCTGTTCACCTAGCAGCAAATAGGTACCTGGGTGTTAGTCGACTGGTGTGGGTCACATCCTGGGGGACAAGATTAAGGACCCCAATGGAAATAAGTTAGACAGTCCTCGATGACGCACTGACTTTCCTGGGTGGCTAACCCTCCGGGGTTAAAAATCCGAACGAAATCTTATCTTATCTTACAAACAGACCCCTGACTTTCTTCAAGAAGGCACAAGACAGGCATCTAAAGTCAGTACCTGACCAGTCGGACTGTGGTTCGTACGTTGATTTGCGTGTGGCCAAAAGCAACAGCCTGGCTGATCAGGCCCTGATCCACAGCGAGGCCTGGTCACAGACCGGGCCGCGGGAGCGTTGGTCCCCGAAACCTTCTCCAGGTATACCCAGCCCCTTGATGGGGCTGCGGACGTTTCGCACTACTCATGCATCGAGTATCAGTTTAGTTGTGTCTCCTGAGTGTACTCACCTATTTGTACTCACCTATTTGTGGTTGCAACTAGGTCCTCTCTCTCCCTGCTCCATGAGCTTTATCATACCTCGCCTTAAAACTATGTATGGTTCCTCCTCCACTACTTCACTTTCTAGGCTATTCCACGGCTTGACTACTCTATGACTGAAGAAATACTTCCTAACATCCCTGTGGAAAATTGCATTTATCTGAATGTAACTAATTATGTACATAACAGTAAATGATAACAAAGATAATTATTATTTATCAATGTTAATAGACACGTAGGAATTTGGGACACCTAGGTCGCAAAAAATGTCCCCCTTCGATACCTACCACTGTCATAACCACAAGTTGCTCTGGACCTATTAATTAAATGAAATGTACATACACCAGGAATACTGGTAAATATATAAATTTGTGGACTGTATATTAAAAAATGATTATATATAAATTCACATACACATAACAGAAGGAAAATATATCTTAATATCACTCACCAATTTGACTGGATATTAAGTTGTATCATACTCAGAAAAACCTCACTAACTAAATTTATGAAAACATTGGCCAGAATTATACACAAATCTAGAGAGCTTATCTGAGGTTCCTGGAGCTGTCTTGTCCAGTCGTCTGATATCTCAAGTTATGCAGGAATGCACATCCAACAATTTCGCCTCCTATTTGAGAGGTGTCAATCCAATTTTAACCTCTAGAGCATGAAAAATTCTTCCCATTATATTAACGTTGTATCCAATTCAAAACCAAGATGGCGAGTCCCGTCTGCGCAGACGCAGGCTTTCCGTTTTCTATGACATAAATATTATTAAATACAGTATGGCCATCTATTTACATATAAATACTGAATTTCTGGAAAATATATACAGTATTTTCCACAATCCCTTTGATTCATCTGAGTCTTCAACTTCCAATTGTGACCTCATGTGTCTGTGTCCCATCTCTGGAACATCCCGTCTTTGTCCACCTCGTCTATTCCGCGCAGTATTTTATATGTCGTTATCATGTCTCCCCTGACCCTCCTGGCCTCCAGTGTCGTCAGGCCGATTTCCCTCAACCTTTCTTCGTAGGACAATCCCCGTAGCTCTGGGACTAGTCTTGTTGCAAACCTTTTCACTTTCTCTAATTTCTTGACGTGCTTGATTAGGTGTGGATTCCAAACTGGTGCTGCATACTCCATTATGGCTGACGTAAATGTTATACAGAGTCTTGAACGAATCCTTACTGAGGTATCGGAACGCTATCCGTAGGTTTGCCAGAAGCCCGTATGCTGCAGCAGTTATCTGATTGATGTGCGCCTCAGGAGATATGCTCGGTGTTATACTCACCCCCAGATCTTTTTCCTTGAGTGAGGTTTGCAGACTTTGGCCATCTAAACTATATTGTGTCTGCGGTCTTCTTTGCCCTTCCCCAATCTTCATGACTTTGTGTGTGTGTGTACCAATAACTCATTACAGGTGTGACCGAGTGTAGACGTGTGAATTGTTCATTGCTTTATAATTTGCTCGTGATCGTAACCATGTATAGACGTGTAAATGATTCATTACCTTTGTAACTTGGTGATGATTGTGACCAGATCTACCCGGAGTTCATTACCTTGTAACCTGGCCATGACTGTGACCAGATCTGCCTGAGTTTATTACCTTGTAACTTGGTCATGATTGTGACCAGATCTACCTGAGTTTATTACCTTTGTACCTTGCTCAGCTATCAAAACTTTGGGGTCCAGTCCCTGGACTCATTATGTACCTCTGTAATCCTTTGACTACCGCCCACAGGATGGGTATGGGATGCATAATGAAGATATTAAACTAACTTCTGAGCAGCTAGTTTATTGTGCACCTTATGCTCAATGACGAATTTATCGATTTCTCCCGGACATGTCTGCCACCATTAAACTAAAGTCGTTGGGCAATTGATCTGGGCCGCCATGTAACACCTCCCAGTTTTTTCTTTTCTGTTTGGCGGATTTCTAAAGCCTAGCGATAGCCTGTTGCTGACTCAGAGAGTATTCACCAATATGCGGTTGCGGGGCTTTGAGTCTTAGCTCCTGGCCCCCGCCTCTTTGCTGTTCGCGTCTGGCTATGCCAGTACTTAGCCTGAGGGTTCACTGACCTAATTAGTAATTTTTTCAATTACTATTTTGTCACTATTCTCAAGGACCCCAATGAAAATAAGTTAATTTGACTTTCTTGGGTTATCCTAGGTAATTTACATATTACTATGCAAGAGTTGTAATTGTCCAAAATTGTTTAAAACTATATATAAATAAACTATATACCAAAATGACAATAACAAGAACCCCAATGGAAATATGTTTTTTCTGATTTTTTGGGGTTCTCCTGTGTGGTGTAACTTAACTGACTGCGTACGATAATTGTACTTATTTGTACCTGTACCTAAACAGACTTACTTACTTGCTAACTAATTTACTTAATCTTTCCCCAGTAAGACTGAGCTGGGTTCAATAAGACGTAAGTTTTCGAAGCCAACAAAACCTTCAACAATAGCAACATGGCAATGGCCAGCAACGTACGGTTCTTTGGCAGTGCAAGGATTTATTATAGAGGCAGGAATGTCTTTCTGGGAAACCATTTGAATGCAGCAGGTAAGTTCCTGATAGTTTTTTTGTTTAAGTAACTGCTCTACACTGAACAGCTACCATTAACAAAGGTGTTTTACCATATTCTGAATTTTTCATGGAGGTGCTTAAAGTTTGTATGTCAGCTGGCCTTTTTGCTGGTTACTTATTGATGATGAGGAGCTCTTCTACTGGTCAGAGGCTATGCCCAAAATTCCATGAGCCCTTGATTATTATTAAATTTACGGGGAAGCACTAAACCCATAGGGGTCATTAGTGCCTGGGAGGCATGTAGGTTCAATCCAAGGAAGGGGAGAACAAGTCCAATTCCTTGGATTAAGAGCCCCTCACCGGCATCAAAGAACCTCCCTTTAGGGGATGAACCCTTTAAAGGCTCTTAAAAGGCTGCCTAACAGCAGGCACAGACTGCTGCACAGTATTCCTTTTAGGAGGCCTGGTCACAGACCGGGCTGTGGGAGTGTTGATCCCTGAAACCCTCTCTGGGTATACCTTCACAGTCATTGGTCTGAGTTGATTCATAACAAATTATATTCTATCAAGCTATGTTTATGATTCTGGTCTTATCAACAATGTCATGGTTGCGAGACTACGCTTTCCCGTCTTCGTATCGGGCACACACACACCTCACTCATGGGTATCTCATGGAGAGATGCCCAGTTCCACTCTGTGACAATTGTCAGGTTCCAATTTCAGTTTTCCAATTGTCCTGTTTACCAACAAGCATGAAGAATTTACCTCTGACATCGTCACCACTCTAACACCCTTACTTTATCTTCCCTCCTCACTGACAGCCTCATCTTTGACAGCAACAGATTTATTACACAAACTTTGATTATACTTCCTTTAGCACTCCTCACTGCCCATACTAACTCACCTTCGTCATACCCTCCACCCTAGTTAGTCTCAGATCTAGCATCGTATACCATTTGCACACACTATCCTGTAGCACTGTATTATCCTTGTGGGTTTAATGCTTAGTTTGATTATTATAATAATTAAAAGGCTGCCTTACCTAGTAAATATTATTATTATTATTATTATTATTATTATTATTATTATTATTATTATTATTATTATTACTATTATTAGTAATATTATTAGAGTTGACTGTTGTGGGTTGCATTTTGGGAAAAACCGAAATTAGACCCCCATTGGAAATAATATGCTACAATGCTTGGTTGGTTTTCTTGATGTTTCATTAATCATTTTGATTTCATTGGCTCATTGAGAAATGTACTGTATTTTATTTTTAATGCGTGCTTCTTCACTCGGGCAGGTGTGGCAAAAGCATTATGCAGCACTTCCACAGGGATCAACAACACAAATAACATATCCAGTGAAGGCAGTCCAGATGCTCCAGGGCTTGTAACATGGAAGTCCTCCAAAGCAGAGCAGATTCTTGTGGAGAAATCAGAAAAAGATATGGTAAATAAGATTTCATGAAATTATAAAAAAAATATTGTTTTATTGAAACTTGGATAATATAGTGAATGAAGTCACAATACTGTATCATGGTTTAAATAATCACAAATAATCCTCATTTAGAAGAAACTTATGACAACGTTTTGATCAGTCCTGGAGTCGTGACTTGCCGTAGTTCTTGTAGTTCAGGACAAACCAAAATGTCATCATAAAGCTTCCTTTCCCAGCAACTAAAATGCTAGGAGCAAGAGGCTGATAATTCCTTCTCCTGTATAAATTATTGAATGTAAAATGGAGAACCTTTATGAAAGTGTTTCTTCTTCTTTGGGTCATCCTGCCTCAGTGGGAGATGGCTGGTGTTAAAAAGAAAATGCGTTTATGTATTTTTAAACTGTAGGAAAAACTGGCGTCTTTAGACACCTGGCAGATTAAGATTATCAAGCTTGAGAAATAGTTATCTATATATACCAGAGATTACCTGTATTTCCCATTTCTTTTGTATTTAAATGAGCTTTGTTCAAGTTTTTTCTTCCTTCACAAACCTTTAGTATTTGCTAAAGAATTATTAACCTTTAGTTTATTTTTTCCAGCCTATTGAAATGCCCAACCCATATGAGCGAGAAAAAGTTTGTTGCATACTTTGCAAGTACAACATAAATCTTAATTTCAAGAATGTAAGGCTACTTTCTCAGTTTGTCTCCCCATACACTGGAAAACTCTATGGAAGGAACATTACTCGCTTGTGTCGAAGACAGCAGGAAGAGCTAGAACAGCAAATAAGAAAAAGTATAGCTGCAGGTTAGTTACCATGGAATGGAATTTAATAGTTAAAGTTTTAACATATGATGTTTGAAAATTACAAGAATAAATGTCATAAGGTTGTTTGGCTTTTCAGAACTTTTAGCTTACTATAATATTTGTTATAGCAAGTCATATTGTGATTTTGAGGGCAGTAACCACTACTAATAAGGGTTAGGGTTTTTTTATTTTCCTTAAACTCATACAATTAGCAAATGCAATAATCATTGAGCAGATTTCATATCTGATGTGCAGTGCTCTATGACCCTTATGGGTTTAACAGTTATGATTAATAATAATCACATTTGATGCATTAATATTTACAAGTAAGTTTCACATTGCAGGATACATGGCTGCAAAGATGAAGAGTTTAGATTTCTTGAAGGATCCCAAGTTATTTGACCCCAGCAATCCAGTGAGACCTCATAATTATTAATCAGTAACCCTGCATCTATGGAGTTCGCTAATATTTGTGCAAGCACAAATTCATTTGTATTTGCATATTAAAATTGTAAATAAGTTCTGCATTTGATGTTTCACTATTACCAAGAATTCTCTGCAGGTTATATTCATGGAGTCCCTGTAGGCTGTATGATGCTCTATGCTAAATCCATATGAATCATGCAGGGCCTGGGAGGTATTCAGGTTTGATCCATGGCAGGGGATTATTATTATTATTATTATAATCAAAGAAAGTGCTAAACTGACAAGGACCATGGAAGGGAAAGGCAGATCCAATTCCACACATCAAGAGCCCCTTGTCAGCTTCAAGGAGCTTCCATCAAGGGGCAGGTAATTTAAAATAAATACTGGTATAGTAAGATTTTCGTCAGTACATTGCCAGTTATTTATAGTGAAGTGTTGGAGCTTCAAAATTGAAAGCACGCTAAATTATCAGCCTTCACTGGTTGATAGGAAGGAAAGCTGAATGACCCGTATGGGTTTTGCCCTTTCCATCTCCTTTAGGGAGGTTCCTTGACATCAACACAGGGCTACTGATCCAAAAAAATTACTCATCCTCCAAATCCATGGATGGAACCCGACTCTTATCCTCCCCCCCTCCTGGCACTGTGATCCCTTTGGGTTTAGTGCTCCCCATAAATTTAGTGATGTCACTTTTCATGAACAATTTTATTTTGTGGGAGAGCTAAACCACTAGGGGCCACAACACCTTAGGGAATAGGAATGGTGGGGACTTCGAAGTTGATGGTTCATCTGAATTTTTATGTCAGCACACTTTGGCAAAATTGATTGAATGAATGAGTTTACTTTTATTTTTGAGTCACCCTACCTTAGTGTAAAAAATATATAAACACTCATACATGCATTCATACATACATGTGCATACAAAGTCCTCTCTAGGATCTTTCCACATAAAACAAAATATTATTTTTCCCCTTTAATCCACTTCAGTAATGGCCGTAGACCTTTGCCAGCAAGTGCACTAACTTCAAAAGTCAAAAGCTGCTGTGGAGCATACTCTTTAAGGTTGTCAATGCGCATCACATTCAGCAGTTCATTTACGCCACGACTCGTAGCACTGTCTGTTTTGTTCAACACTATCGCCACCTGCAAAAAATTAAATGTAACATTACTGTGCAATTTTCACATGTGGTATCTGTACGAAATCATGAGTTATTAAAATAAACCTTTGATATACGGGACCTCTATATAATGGACTAGGGAAATATGGAACAATCTGCTGGGTCAACTGATTTGGCAACAACGTCCATTAGTTACAGAACTGTCAGTGACTGTCACTATCATGGCAAAACAATCTCTTCTCTATCCACCACAAATAAAATTACCAGCATTCTGCTCTTCCCTGTTGTTCCATTATATTGAAAGTTTACTGTAAAACATAGTTGATTTTTATGGTAATGTACCCCTCAAGGAAGGTTCCTTGATGTTGGTGAGGGGCTCTTGATTTAGGGAATTGGATCTGTGCTCCAGTTCCCCGAATTAAGCCTGAATGCCTTCCACATCCCCCCCCAGGCGCTGTATAATCCTCCGGGTTTAGCGCTTCCCCCTTGATTATAATAATAATAATATGGTAATGTATTTCATAAAAACACTGTAAAAAAAAAATTGTCTCAAGCAGACTGCACCTACAATTTGAATAGAATGGTAGTCCTGCACAATACCTGGAGCCAACTTACCTGCTTGTATAAGCTCCCTTCAAGGATGAATGAAGAGGTTGAGGGAGTATCTTGATGTTTGTAAAGCATTCTTGATCAAAAGAACTGGATTCAACTCTTGAATCAAACCTAACTGCCTCCTATTCCCTGGGCACTATGTGACCTTTATGGATTTATTACTTCCCCATGAATAAAAATAATTATCTTTCATTATTTAAACTTTATGGAGGTTTCTCGATGCCAGGAGGGGCTCTTGATCTAAGGAATTAGACCTATGTTTCCCTTCCTTGGACTGAACCCGGACACTTCTGTTTTCCCAAGGCACTGTATGACCTCTATGGGTTTAGTGTATGAATGTATAATAATTTCATTTATGAAGGACCATACAGTTGTTACTTGATTATGAGTGAATGCATGGGGAGTTTTGAACCAAGTGTGGAAGTAATGGTGGTTGGGGATTTCAGTGCTAAAGTGGGCAAAAATGTTGTGGAGGGAGCAGTAGGTAAATATGGGGTGCTAGGGGTAAATGAAAATGGGGAGCCTATAATTGAGCTATGTGTAGAAAGAGGTTTGGTAATAAGTAATACATATTTTATGAAGAAGAGGATAAATAAATATACAAGGTATGATGTAGCATGTAATGAAAGTAGTTTGTTAGATTATGTATTGGTGGATAAAAGGTTGATGGGTAGGCTCCAGGATGTACACGTTTATAGAGGGGCAACTGATATATCGGATCATTATTTAGTTGTAGCTACAATTAGAGTAAGAGGTAGATGGGAAAAGAGGAAAATGGCAACAAGAAGTAAGAGGAAGGTGAAAGTGTATAAACTAAGGGGAGAGGAAGTTTGGGTAAGATATAAACAACTATTGGCAGAAAGGTGGGCTGGTGCAAGTATGAGTAGTCGGGGGGGGGGGGGGGGGGGTTTTGAAGAGGGTTGGAATAGTTTTAAAAATGCAGTATTAGAATGTGGGGCAGAAGTTTGTGGTTATAGGAGGGTGGGTGCAGGAGGAATAAGGAGTGACTGGTGGAATCATGAAGTAAAGGGTGTGATAAGAGAAAAAGTTAGTTTATGAGAGGTCTTTACAAAGCAGAAGTGTTATAAGATGAGTAGAGTATATGGAGAGTAAAAGAAAGGTGAAGAGTGTGGTGAGAGAGTGCAAAAGGAGAGCAGATGATAGAGTGGGAGAGGCATTGTCAAGAAATTTTAATGAAAATAAGAAAAAATTTTGGAGTTAAACAAGTTAAGAAAGCCTAGAGAACGAATGGATTTGTCAGTTAAAAACAGAGTAGGGGAGTTAGTAGATGGGGAGATGGAGGTTTTGGGTAGATGGCGAGAATATTTTGAGGAACTTTTAAATGTCAACGAAGAAAGGGAAGCGGTAATTTCATGCACTGGCCAGGGAGGTATACTATCTTTTAGGAGTGAAGAAGAACAGGATGCGAGTGTGGGGGAGGTGCGTGAGGCATTACGTAGAATGAAAGGGGGTAAAGCAGCTGGAACTGACGGGATCATGACAGAAATGTTAAAAGCAGGGGGGGATATAGTGTTGGAGTGGTTGGTATTTTTGTTTAATAAATGTATGAAAGAGGGAAAGGTACCTAGGGATTGGCAGAGAGCATGTATAGTCCCTTTATATAAAGGGAAGGGGGACAAAAGAGATTTTAAAAATTATAGAGGAATAAGTTTACTGAGTATACCAGGAAAAGTGTACGGTAGGGTTATAATTGAAAGAATTAGAGGTAACTCAGAATGTAGGATTGGGATCAGCAAGGAGGTTTTAGAGTGGGTAGGGGATGTGTAGATCAAGTGTTTACATTGAAGCATATATGTGAACAGTATTTAGATAAAGGTAGGGAAGTTTTTATTGCATTTATGGATTTAGAAAAGGCATATGATAGAGTAGACAGGGGAGCAATGTGGCAGATGTTGCAAGTATATGGAATAGGTGGTAAGTTACTAAATGCTGTAAAGAGTTTTTATGAGGATAGTGAGGCTCAGGTTAGGGTGTGTAGAAGAGAAGGAGACTACTTCCCAGTAAAAGTAGGTCTTAGACAGGGATGTGTAATGTCACCATGGTTGTTTAATATATTTATAGATGGGGTTGTTAAAGAAGTAAATGCTAGGGTGTTCGGGAGAGGGGTGGGATTAAATTATGGGGAATCAAATACAAAATGGGAATTGACACAGTTGCTTTTTGCTGATGATACTATGCTTATGGGAGATTCTAAAGAAAAATTGCAAAGGTTAGTGGATGAGTTTGGGAGTGTGTGTAAAGGTAGAAAGTTGAAAGTGAACATAGAAAAGAGTAAGGTGATGAGGGTATCAAATGATTTAGATAAAGAAAAATTGGATATCAAATTGGGGAGGAGGATTATGGAAGAAGTGAATGTTTTCAGATACTTGGGAGTTGACGTGTCGGCAGATGGATTTATGAAGGATGAGGTTAATCATAGAATTGATGAGGGAAAAAAGGCAAGTGGTGCGTTGAGGTATATGTGGAGACAAAAAAACGTTATCTATAGAGGCAAAGAAGGGAATGTATGAAAGTATAGTAGTACCAACACTCTTATATGGATGTGAAGCTTGGGTTGTGAATGCAGCAGCGAGGAGGTGGTTGGAGGCAGTGGAGATGTCCTGTCTAAGGGCAATGTGTGGTGTAAATATTATGCAGAAAATTTGGAGTGTGGAAATTAGGAGAAGGTGTAAAGTTAATAAAAGTATTAGTCAAAGGGCTGAAGAGGGGTTGTTAAGGTGGTTTGGTCATTTAGAGAGAATGGATCAAAGTAGAATGACATGGAGAGCGTATAAATCTGTAGGGAAAGGAATTCAGGGTAGGGGTCATCCTCGAAAAGGTTGGAGGGAGGGGGTAAAGGAGGTTTTGTGGGCGAGGGGCTTGGACTTCCAGCAAGCGTGCGTGAGCGTGTTAGATAGGAGTGAATGGAGACGAATGATATTTGGGACCTGACGATCTGTTGGAGTGTGAGCAGGGTAATATTTAGTGGAGGGATTCAGGGAAACCAGTTATTTTTATATAGCCGGACTCGAGTCCTGGAAATCGGAAGTATATACAATGCCTGCACTCTAAAGGAGGGGTTCAGGATATTAGCAGTTTGAAGGGATATGTTGTGTATCTTTAAAGGTATATGCTTCTAAGCTGTTGTGTTCTGAGTACCTCTGTAAAAACAGTGATTATGTGTGAGTGAGGTGAAAGTGTTGAATGATGATGAAAGTATTTTCTTTTTTGGGCCACCCTGCCTCGGTGGGAGACGGCCGACTTGTTAAAAAAAAAAAAAAATAGTTTACCCTGAAGAGTTTCATTATATTATGACAATAAGTGACATCCACTTGGTTACTGGTCTACTGCTGAATCAGTTTTCTTTACCTTACAAATCATAAAATTTAATTACAAATTTGCTCATATTTTCTTGTTCATCAACAATTAGCATTTTTTTCTTTTTTGTTCACTGGCAATGACCCTCAGATCAATCCTGATTACTTCCTGTTTCCCAGGCACAGTATGGCCCCTATGGTTTAGAACTTTCCCAAATAATAATAATAATAATAATAATAATAATAATAATAATAATAATAATAATATAAATAAAAATAATAATAAAAGCAGTACCCATCAATAATGGCAGGGCACTCTCATTTTCTCTCAGCAATTTTTTTAAGAATAACCAAGTGCTGTATGACCCCCGTCCGTTTATAGAAATCATTCAGATGAACCCAGTGGATTAGGAAACCCAGGATAACCTAGAAAAAAAAAAACATTCAGCTTGGCTTATTTTCACTGGGGTCCTTATTTCCTCTGGGGTCCTCATCCCTAGGATGCAACCTATACCAGTCAGCAAATGCCCTAGTTTCTACATCCTGGTAGATGAGTAGAGGCAATAGATGAATGGAAACATGGCCAACATTTTACCCCTGTGCAGTGACCGAATGCAGGTCCTTCAGATGTGAAGTGAAGGCACTATCATTTGAGCTACAAAATGCTCATGAGTCAAAATGCTCATACATGCTACTGGCTTTCTTTGTGTTTAACAATATTTTACTACATGTTAACTACACATTGTATATTATGCAAAGAAATAAATTTTTGAATTTGAATTTAAATCTGTGCTTCCTCATAAACATAATAAATAAGCACAATTTGTTAACTCATAATGAATATAATAAATAATTAAAATAATTTTATTACTGTGTAGGATTCATAAGTTAATTATGCCCCAAAAACAGTATCTAAATTATGAATAAATTTTTTATATGGATGTGAAGCTTGGGTGGTAAATGCAGCAGCGAGGAGACGGTTGGAAGCAGTGGAGATGTCCTGTCTAAGGGCAATGTGTGGTGTAAATTATTTTTTTTTTATTATCACACCGGCCGATTCCCACCAAGGCAGGGTGGCCCGAAAAAGAAAAACTTT